ATTTAAATTGTTATTTTTGATTTATACTTTTTAGTATTAGTATTTTATATTTTAGTTTAGTTTTTCTTTGATTAATAATGACTTCACTTATTAATCATTATAAATTTTTTGATTTATTTTATTCTTTTCTTTATATTTTTACCTTTTTTCAAATTACTTTTGTAATTTAGACCTTTAAACACACAATATCTGTAGATATTGGCACAGGCCTTAAAAACCTTTGTTAATATTTATAATTCATTCTCTTTACTTAAGTTTAATCACCCCTCTCCCAATATTATATACCTATAGTGATTCTCAGTGAAACCCACTATCCAGAATTATTGTTACAGTATTACTCTGAGCAAATTACTGTTATTAACTTTGAATTTTATATCATATTGTGTCAAACAAATTGCTATTATTGAATTATTGAGCTTTATATCATATTGTATTGAACAAATCACTATATTAGAATTATTGAAATTGGATTTATAAGTATTTTTACTTTTTATTATTTTGAATTTTTAATTGTTAATGAATATTTCTCACTCATGAGAAGAACAAAGTGAAAGAGTTTTTGTTATTATTATTACTAATTATATTACCTTAAGTTCTAGAAAATTTTACATTAGTATAGAATTCTCCTTCAAATCTCCTTTATTATTTTTTTATTTCCTTTTCTTTTAATTTTTACTCTCCCATAACTCTTTCATATTATTATTTCTTTTTAAGTAAACATGATTTTCATAGAAATTGGCATAGATCTTAGATAACTCCCTTTTCTTTTAATAATTTCTTTATCAGTTTATATTCTTTCTCAATTCAGATTCTTGTTTGTAAGCTAATTTAATGATTAGTAAACAAACTTGTAATAATATCTTTAAATAGTTATTAGTAATAAAAGATCCAAATATTATATTTTATTTTTGAATTCAAATAAGAAAATTAGCTAGAGATTCAGTTATTATATCAAAAGGTAAAAAGCAAATATGATAAAAATATTATTGAAAAATTTGAAATAATATTTCTTGATATTAAATTTTCAAGTAAGTGTTAAGATATAAGTAAATAGATTCTCTAATAAAAGTATAATAATTATTTATAAAGAAATTTAAGTAAAAAGAAAGATTTTTGAAAATATTTCACAGAAAAAATATCAAAATGTTACAAGTTTGTTCATTAATTATTAAATTAGCTTACAATTTTGAATTTGAATTAAAAGAGAGTGATAGATTAATAAAAATAATAAAAGAAAAAAGAAAAACATCTAAAATCTATATCAATTTTTATGAAAATTGTATTTATTTAAAAATAATTAATAATATAAAAAAATTATAAAAGAGAAAAGATTAAAGAAGAAAAGAATATAAAAGAATGAAAAAATAGGAAAAGAAATTTAAAAGACTAATTCTCTATACTTATATAAAACTTTTCAGAGCTAAGATAATATAATTAGCAATTAACAATAACAAAAACTCACTTTGTTCTTATATTTGTTAATAGTTAGAAATTTAAATAACAAAAATTAAAATACTTAATATTTAATTTCAATAATTCTAATATAGTTATTTGTTTAGTATAATTTAATTTAATTTAATAATAGTAATTTGCTTAGTATAATATAATATAAAGTCCAAAATCAATAATAATAGTTTGCTCAGCATAATACAATATAAAGCTATTAGTAATTTATTAGATATAATATGATATAAGATCACTTATATACAAAATTTGAAGTATATAAAGAAAATATGAGAGATAAGAGATATTTAAAGAAAGATTTTTATTAAAAAGATTTTTATTTTTAGTTATAATATGTTGAGTTAAGACTCAGATCCCACTTTTATTTATATATTTTTAAAAATATAATTTCAAATAATAATAACTATCTAAAAAATAAAATAAAAGATAAAATAAAAGATAAAAGTAAAATAAAGATAAAATAAAAAATAAAATAAATATAAAAAGTAAAATAAAAGATAAAATAAAAAGTAAACTAAAAGATAAAAATAAAATAAAAAGTAAAATAAAAGATAAAAAGTAAAATAATTTGAGAGATCTTTGCTATTATATAAATATTTTATATTTTTTAATTATTTTTGGAATTAACAGTTTTTATATTACTACTATAATATTATATTTAATTAATAAATTTTAATATTGTTATATTATTACTATATATTATATATAAATAATATAAATAATATAAATAAAATCATAAATTTTAAAATTTACTTGAATTTTATTATATTCCAGAACTAAAAAAATAAAAATCTAACTAAATTATATATATAACCAAAATATTATAGATAATCAAAATATTATAAATTATAATTTAAAAATTCAACTAAAATTTATTTGAATTCTGTTTGTATTTCAGAACTAAAATAAAAATAAAAATCTAACTAAAGTTATATATATATATATAATCAGAATATTACAGAATTTTGTTTAAAAAATCTTTGATTTGCTAATTTAATTTATTATTAAAAAATTGTATTTTTATTTGAATTTGCCAGAATTTGATCTGAGTTCTATCAGACTTTAATCTTTAAAAAAATGGTTCTTTGTCTGAATTTTACTGGATTTTTTTCTGAATTTTATCAAAATCAATTTTTTACTGGAACTCTAAATAAGTTGTTAACTTTAGTATTTTTCATTTATTATTTTTATTTCATATCAATAAGTTCTGGTTATTTTACTTTTATATTGATTTAGTTATTTTCTTTTCTTTTTTTTATTGGTAATCTCAATAAGTCCAATTGTAACTTTACTTATTCATTAGGCATTCTCAATAAGTTTTGTTATTTCTTTAATAGAAATTCTATTTTTATTTTAGTTTATCTTATTCTTTTATTTAATTATCCCACTTGCCCTATTTTTACCTTTGATAACAAGTTAATTTGCATACAAGCTACCACAGAAGACCTTTAGAATCTTTAGTGAACCCTATTAATTATAAATCATTTATTTATTGTTTTTTCACTATTATGTTACTTTATTAATTCATTAATTCTAACAATTCTTGAATTAATGAGAGCATTATGAAGAATTGACTTGGAAATGAAAACTTGAGAGCTGTGCTAATTTCATATCTTGTTAAATATTAATGCTTTCATTGCTGAGTTTGGCCTAGCAGATAAAATTTTATGGAGTATTTTCTTATATCAATCCAGAGGTGTTAAACGGCAAATCATATACATAAGCTGCCAAACGTATTAAACTTCTGTTTGGAGGAATATGCGTACTTCAAAAGCATGTAATAGCGTAATAAATAAATCGATTTATGAAAATGACGCTATCAATATGCTATAAAGATAGATTGACTAAATCAACATACAATAAATTGTCGTGAATAAACACCCTATCTCAATCCAAAAATAGTAAAACAACGAATAAGCACTACTAAGTTTAAATGACAAAAATATGTCTAAAATGTCTTTAAATGGCGATAATGTTAAATTGTGAGATGTCCAGAAATGAGTACTACCACCCAGTTTTTTAGAACCCAAAAGTGGTACTTATTCACGACAGTTTACGGTAGTAAGTAAACGATAACAATTTCTCATGCAAACGTGAAAAACGAAAATTAATATAAACACGATGAATAAACTATATTAACAATCGCAAGAAAGTACATAACATAAAAAGTTTAATGAGCTATAGAAACCACTTTTGGTCATTGCGCAATGGGCAAAAATTTTAAAGTAATCACCATTAAATAACAGCGTTCTTTATTTGTTGAAAATGTTTCATAATGAATTTATTATTAATCGAAAAATTTTGTTGATATACCGAGTATTCTAATAATAATTTTGCTGAAAGATTGGCCTGAAAGTTCGATATACATGTACATACAGTATTCACATTAATTTATAGAATTTTATAGAATTTCAAAGAATACAAATTAAATGAATGGCATGTTAAATTGTTCGAGATTATATAAAATATATAAAATAATAACCAGATTAAGAAATAGCGATAGAATAAAGAACAACTCTAATCGTTTATATTTTTGATGTAGTTGTTGGTGCTGTTGATATTGTTGTTGGTTATATTGTCGAATATATTCTTGATATTCTTGATGCTGCTGCGATTGTTCTTTATGATGAAGATGTTGTTGTAGTAATGAATGTGCTACTAGATTATATGTTTCATGTATTACTCGCAGCGCCGCTTGTCGTTCTTGTGCCGATTCTGGTAATTCTTGACATTCTTGGGTTTCTTGGGTTTCTTGGGGTTCTTTTTGTGCGGCGGCTCGACTTCTAGGCATTTTTAAAAATTATTGTATCAGTATATACATTAAGGAGGAAAAACGCAATTACTTATATTATTTTTACGCTCTTAAAATAATACTAATTTTACCCACGCTCTTAATAATAGTTTTACCCACGCTCTTAATATTAATAATCTTTTACTCTTAATAATTAATGACATAACGATAACGAGCATTAAATGATTTTTATCTAGTATGACATAACGTGCGAAAAAAAATAATGACATACAATCTGACAAATTAAGCCGATCCCGGCAAAAATTCGGAAATTAACGTTAAGGTTATTTTTAAATTTATATGCTATTTCCGGCAAAATGAATTTTCGCATGATACTTCGAGATACGTGGTTTTGTAATTTGCAATTCGTGGATTACGGAGTAATGAGGCTTCATCTCTTAGATTATATATGTAACTTTGAATTTTTGACCTGGATCCTGGCTAAAATTTTACCGTTTTTATTGTTGCGTATGATGACTTTGAATATTTTCACGCACACATTTATTTCTGAGTTAGTGTCGAACATACGTACAAGAAGGCGGGTAATCTCTTAATTTATGACTGAGTGAATACTACCTAAATCAATACTTGCTTCGGTCATTGTAAATATTAAATTATTATTTATCAGACTTTGTCCGTGCATTTCGTGCATTAATGTGTAGTAAAAATTCAGTGAAATATATCGCCGGGTCAGTGAAATGTCAGAGACAAAGGTTAGAAAGGTAAGTATCGCATGTATAACGCACGCTTTCATTTCCCATAATCAAGGCATATGGGTGGTTAATCGAAAGTCCGTGAATATGCAGTCATAACTTCATATGCATGTAAATCACTCTAATTAATCTAAAAAAGCTAAAGATACACACCCCTACTCTACCGGAAATTCCAAAAATGCATTTGTCACTTTGAAACTGATATTTTGATATCCAGTAATCCCATTCGAACAAAGATATCACCATTAGATTCGTATAGTCGAGACGAATCTATTAGTGATATTAATTTTTGAAATTTCTGGTAAGTTCATGAATTTTCGGGTATAATAAGAAAATTAGTCATTTTGCAATTATATATACGTACAATATAGCACTTAATATTTTGATTAGAAAACTCAAGATTCAGAACAAATACTTATATGTAATTTATAGTTTGGAGACAATTGGGAGAGGTTGGAAAGTAGGTAAAAATGAATAAGATTTTTTTTAATTTAAGAGTTTGCTAATACATACTGTTATACTTGTAACATCATTTTGGTAATCCTCTAATTTAGAAGAATCAGTTTGGATCATGTTATAAATTTAACATTTTCTTTTATGTCCTCAAATATTTATATCCCATATAATATTCTCTCTTTTTTTGATCATGATTTTCTCTTGGATAATTCATTTGGTGTTCTTTTTTATTTTTGTTTTAATTTTCATTTTTCTCTTTTTGTTATAAATTTCTTTCATAAAAAAAGTTTTGAATGTGATTCATATCAATATTTATCATTAATTATATATTAATATATATGATCTGGTGCAAAAATGTTGATAAATATAAAATGAAAGTTAATAATTACTTCTAATAAAAAGTCATACAATATATAATTAATATTTATAATTTTTTTATATTAAATAAAGTATGACTTTTTATATTATTTTTAGTATTTTTTTATACTTTTATTTAAGAATAAATAAGGCAAAATTTTTCACTTTTGAACAATAAAATTTGCAATTTTTAAAAATTAAAAATATTAAGTATTATCATTATAAATTTTTATTTTTAGAGATTTATACTCAACAAGTACATTAATATATATATTGTTACAGTGATTCTGGATAGTGGGTTTCACTGAGAATTACTATAAGAATATGAGATTAAACTTAAATAAAGAGAATGAATTATAAATATTAGCAAAGATTTCTAAGATCTGTGTCAATATCTACAGATATTGTGATTCAAAGATCTAAATTACAAAAGTAATTTGAAAAAGGAGTAAAAATATAAAGAAAAGAATAAAATAAATCAAAAGAT